TTCCCTACCTCACTTTACCTTACCTCCCCTTCCCTTCCTTTCCTCACCTTACCTTACCTTACCTCCCCCTACCTTACCCCCAAGGTAGCGTTGGGGTGTTTGATCACCAGGTAGAAGAAGCTGGGGGGAGGGAAGGGCTAAATTGCAGGTGATCCAATTACTGTTTTACCTGAGCCAGACTGGTGACCCAGGCAGCACCTTCCTTTACCCTCCTCCACCCCCTTCCATCCATCTACCCGCCCTGCTTCCACTTCATCCACCCACCCGCCCTCCCTCCACCCGTCCATAACCACCCTTCATCTACCCGCCTTCCCTCCCTCTATCCGATCACTGCCACTTTACCTTTACTTTCTTGCTGCACCTCCTCCATCTACCCGTGCACACCACTCCCTACACTCCCTGCCTTCTCCCCATTTCCTCACCTCCCCAGTCCCTCCCCCTACTCCTCACTAGTTAAGGCGGACATGCAGGAGTCAGCATACGAGGCCGTGTGCTGACTCCTGTACAGTATTAAGTATTTCCTACCTACTGAGTGTGTGCTGACGTGCGGTGCCTGAGCGGCGCGGCGTGTCTCCCAATCTTCACACCTTTCTCCCTTTCACTGTATTGGTCTCGTATGAAGCTACAGGTTGTTTTTTTTACTCCGCAAATGTCCGTTTTGTGCTAAATACTGGGTAAATTGTGTCTGGTGTGGGAGGAGGGAGGGGGTGTCAGGTAGGGATGATGTGGGTGCTGGTATGGCGGTGAGCAGCAGCGCTGAGTGCCGACGTAAGGCAATTGGCGCAAGTGCCTTGACTTCTGATCTGCAGTGACCCGGGGTCACACAACTCAGCGGCACCAACATGGCCATCGTGCGGAATATAATTCGACTACGCCTCTCTTGTGCTCGCCGGTGCCTTCCGTCACCACAAACGTGACGTCGACACAACAAGAACACGGCGGTGAGACTCATTCTTGGTTGTTATGTCACCACCAGAATAAAGTCGTGCAGCGTCATCTACTACTACTACTATTACTACTACTACTACTCCCCGCTGGCCGTAGAATTGCTACAGTACCCTCAGTGTCATCCTTGGTGTCAGCATTCTCCACGGTGAGCAGTGTACACCTCGCCACACCTGCGCTGGCCGGGTCCTGCCCCCTCACCACACTGGACCACCCACTCTGCCACTCACATTATATAATACCACCCCCGGCGTTCACCTCACCCGCCGTGGACACTCTCAACCTTCCTGATCCTAAAACTTGTCAACAGATCCACAACCTCAAACTCCTGTGCTTGACGAAGTTGTTTTCTTCATCTTGACCCCACGACCTCCGCCCATTGTTTACTGTGACGGGCGTGTTGATGCAGTAGGAAGGTTAGGGCAGGGTTGCGGTGTGGATCCCTGAGCACCCCACCCCCCCTGCCCTTACAAGCCCTATGACCTCCTACAGGTCCCCAGCCGTTACCAACACCTCGTCCCTCCCTGACCAGATATCCCTCGTTCTAGACAGGCCCCACACACTCAGCCTTCTGTCACTTATGTAACTTGTTGACAAAACCCATGCCCCTTCAGGCACTTGTGTCCTTAAAGCATGAGTCACAAAGGCAAGCATGAACTCCGCATGCTTCCCTGTTGGGCGCTGTAAACGCCTTTGTGCTTCACCTTGCACATGATGTAAGGGGGTGCCCAATAAACTAGCCCCCTCGGGGGCAATCTAAAAAAAATCTAAAAAGGTCACTCGGCTGGTACTACTGGCACCATCACCACTAGCGCCGCGCTGCGTGGGGCAGATCTGACTGAAATCACAACAGCTACCAAAACCACTACCATCACTAGTACCGCTATTAACATCACCGTCACACTTCCTCTCTACCGTCACACTCCCTCTCTACCGTCACACTCCCTCTCTACCGTCAATCACTCACTGTCTGTCTGATATGCCTTAAATTTATTATACCAGAAATAACTCGCTACTGAAACCATCGTGTGCATTACAAACTAGCATGCTGGTGCGTGCTTACAGGTGTAGTGACGTGTGTACAGGTAGCCCGACACGATCCTCGCTAACTCATACCTGTACTGTACACTGTAACCCCCCATCCCACACCCAACCCCACCCCATTCCACCCCCCTCACCCCATTCCACCCCACCCTCACCCCACTCTACCCCACCCCTACACCATACCCCACTCTACCCCACCCCATACCCAACCCCCACCCCACCCTCACCCCATTTCACCCCACCCTCACCCCATTCCACCCCACCCCCACACCCCACCCCACCCCCACACCCCACCCCACACCCCCCTCCCCCCACCTCACCCCATTCCACCCCCCATACCCCACCCCACCCCACTCCCACACCTGTAGCCTTCCCTCTCTAGCCCCTGCACCACATATTATTTTACCCAGCACGAGGGTACAAGTGGGTAGAGGGCTCCAGGCACCCACTCTCTGATTGGTTGAAGGGTGTGACGTCATATGTCTAAAAATAAACCCAGGGTACGCTTCCCGACGCTACAGCAGACCACACGACCTAACCTAACCTAACATAATCTAACCTAACCTAATCTGACCTAACCTAATCTGACCTAACCTAACTAGAAGAGGCAGTATATGAAGTAGGAGATGTATAATAATGTCGTACAGAGAGAGAGAGAGAGAGAGAGAGAGAGATCCATCATTTTATAAACACCACGAAATCTCTCTCTCTCTCTCTCTCTCTCTCTCTACACCACTATGTATCTTTCTTTTATTTTCTTTACCATTCTTTTTCTTTTTTGTTCTACCACTCTTTATCTTTCTCTCTTACTCACACACATTCTCACACAGGAGCTGCCATGCACAGGCCAACCGGCCTATTGCAGACTCCTTACTTTCTTATGTTCACCCCCACACACCCACTTCACCCCCCCCCCCTTCCCCGACACACAAACACAATAATCTGTTTTACCGGTAAAGATATACACGACTGGTGAATTGGATTATTACACACACACACACACACACACACACACACACACACACACACACACAATAATGGTTGCCCCCCGTGTAACGAGGATGGCCGGTCCAAGAGCCAGCATCAAGGCGTGAATTTGTTTAAGGTGTAGAAGCTGTCGCCAACAACAACCACACCCTAAGTTAACGAGTTGCATGACTCAGTGTCAGGGACTAATAAGACCGGACAACTCGCCAACTGCACTGGCTAACCATTACCCCGGAACACGATCCGCAAATCGATCAACATCCAGGTCTCCAATTACTGCTCGGTAGACAGAGGCAAATGGCGTAAAGAAACTTGCCTATTGTTTCACCCTGCCCGGGGATCGAACGCGGGTCCGCTCGCTATTATTACACACACACACACACACACACACACACTGTAGATATAAGAATAGCACCATCCCATCTATTGTTAAAATAATAAATAGCTCCTGATTTATGTACTGTACAGCCCTGTAAATGTATTAAACGCATATTATTAAGTCTAAATCACATGTAAGTTTGTATATTTTTAGCCACCGGCCGAAACTCTATTAATAAACCGTTTAATATTATTATTATTATTATTATTATTATTATTATTATTATTATTATTATTATTACACAGAGAGAGAGAGAGAGAGCGGCGAAGATGAAAATGCTTACCTGTCTCAAGGGATTGTCTTCTAATTAGGTATTACACGTGTGACTAGCAATCGAGTGTTTGTTTATTTATGTTGGTTTAGTGAGTGGTTTATGTTGGTTTAGTGAGTGGTTTATGTTGTTTAATGAGTGGTTTATGTTGGTTTAGTGAGTGGTTTATGTTGGTTTAATGAGTGGGTTATGTTGGTTTAGTGTGTGGTTTATGTTGGTTTAGTGAGTGGTTTATGTTGGTTTAGTGAGTGGTTTATGTTGTTTAATGAGTGGTTTATGTTGGTTTAGTGAGTGATTTATGTTGGTTTAATGAGTGGTTTATGTTGGTTTAATGAGTGGTTTATGTTGGTTTAATGAGTGGTGTGTTTGTTTTATGAGTGGTTTATGTTGGTTTATGGTGGTTTATGTTGGTTTGTGAGTGGTTTATGTTGTTTATTGGTTTTTTGGTTTGGGTGGTTGTTAATGAGTGGTGTGTTTGTTTTATTTATTTTGTAAGTGCGGAGTTCGATGTGTGTTTGTATGTTTTTACTTTGTTTAGTGGGTATGTTTGTTTAGTGACCTCAGTGATGTTTGAAAAGACTTAGATAATGATTTTACCTTGAGATGTTATTATTTTTGTTGTTACCTGTATTAGTGAGTAGTCGAGTTTGTTTTGGTTTATGGGCGTTTATTGGGAAGACTGGGTGTGTTTGTTTGCGCACACACACACACACACACACACACACACACACACACACACACACACACCTGACATAATAATAGACTGTGAAAAGTGAGAAGGATGTATTGGTCAGATTGCCAATTAGTGGGTCTGGCGGTAGTGTGTGTGTGTGTGTGTGTGAAAATAATAGCTGTACCTTTTATATTTACCCTCATTACTTTGTTAAACATCTTGTACCTGTATCTGTACTTGTATATGTGTACCTGTGCCTGTACCTGTGTCTTTACCTGTGTCTATACCTGTATCTACCTGTGCCATCAGGAGGTAACCAGTTATATAGAATGGATGAACCTCACTTCGTCAACAAGGTGTGGTGGTGTGAATGTTGAGAGAGAGAGAGAGAGAGAGAGAGAGGTAATTAACACAGGTATACTAAGGTTATTCTCCCTTCTACAGGTATATTAAGGTGTTTCTCCCTTCTACAGGTATGCTAAGGTTATTCTCCCTTCTACAGGTATATTAAGGTGTTTCTCCCTTCTACAGGTATGCTAAGGTTATTCTCCCTTCTACAGGTATACTAAGGTTATTCTCCCTTCTACAGGTACAGGTTATTCTCCCTTCTACAGGTATGCTAAGGTTATTCTCCCTTCTACAGGTATGCTAAGGTTATTCTCCCTTCTACAGGTATACTAAGGTTATTCTCCCTTCTACAGGGTCATGGATGAGGAGGGGGAGTTGCTGTTGATAGAGGCGGCCAATTATCTGCCGCCCTGGGCCACCCCCGAATCATCTGAACAAAGGGTGAGTCTGTCTGTCTGTCTGTTGTGTTAGTGTCCGTCTACCTTCCTTATCTCCCTGTGTCTGTCTCCCTCCTTATCACCCTATTATACTCTCCCTGGTCTTTCTTCCCTGTGTGTGTCTCCCTGTCTCTCTCTGGTTGCTGGCATACTCTCCCTGTGTCTGTCTGTCTCTGCCTGCTCTTACCTGTCACTCAGCCCACCCTCCCTTGATGGCTCTAAAGGGTGGATACCTCCCTGCCGGCACTCTCTCCCTGCATCTCTCATCTTCCTTCTCGTCTCCCTGTCTCTATCTGTCATCTCCTCCCTGTATCCGTCTATCTCTCTACCCGTCTCTCCCTGTAATTTGTCTCACCCTTTAACTGTCTCTTTAAGGTCTCTCTCCCTCTGTCTGTCTCTCCCCGTCTCCTTAAGATCTCTCCTTCTGTTTGTCTCTCCCTCCCTGTCTCATTAAGATCTCTCTCCCCTGTCATATTAAGATCTCTCTCCCTGTCATATTAAATCTCTCTCCCCTGTCTGTCTCTCCCTGTCACATTAAGATCTCTCTCCCTGTCTGTCTCTCCCTGTCACATTAAGATCTCTCCCTGTGTCTCTCTCCTGTCATATTAAGATCTCTCTCCTGTCTGTCTCTCCCTGTCACATTAAGATCTCTCTCCCTTGTCTGTCTCCCTGTCACATTAAGATCTCTCTCCTGTCTCCTCCCTGTCACATTAGATCTCTCTCCTGTCTGTCTCTCCCTGTCATATTAAGATCTCTCTCCCTGTCTGTCTCTCCTGTCACATTAGATCTCTCTCCTTGTCTGTCTCTCCCTGTCACATTAAGATCTCTCTCCCTGTCTGTCTCTCCCTGTCATTAAGATCTCTCTCTCCCTGTCTGTCTCTCCCTGTCACATTAAGATCTCTCTCCTTGTCTCCCCTGTCACATTAAAGATCTCTCTCCCTGTCTGTCTCTCCCTGTCATTAAGATCTCTCTCCCTGTCTGTCTCCCTGTCACATTAAGATCTCTCTCCCTCAGTTCGTCTCCTCCTCCAGACATGACTCAGCACTAGATGAGTTGCACCTCCCAGCTTCTCTTCCTGGTTGCTTGGCTCCTTTCACTATCTCCTACTCCCCCTGCTGTGTCTCCTGGGTCTTACTATCTCCTACCCTACCCCCTCTGTGTTGTCTCCTGGGTTTCACTATCTCTACCCCCCCCGCTGCTGTGTCTCCTGGGTTTCCTCTCCTCCCCTCCCCCCTCTCTGTGCTTCCTCACTTCCTGGGTCTTACATTGTCTCCTATACCTCCTCCTCTCCCACTGTGTCTCCAGGATCTCTCTCACCGTCTCCTGGGGGTGCTCTCACTATCTCTTAGCCTCGCCTTTATCTCCTGGAGTTAAAAAGTATTATCTCTCTCTCTCTCTCTCTCTCTCTCTCTCTCTCTCTCTCTCTCTCTCTCTCTCTCCCCCTCCCTCCTCCCTCCTCCCTATTGCCTCAAAAGCAACAACATTCCCCGTGTAACGATCAAACAAGGCTGTTACAGTCTGTTGCCTCCTTCCTCCATCCTTCTCCCTCCTCCTACTCCTTCTTTTTCCTCCTTCTTCCCCTTTCTTCGTCTCCTCTTTCTTCCCCTTCTCCTCCTCCTCCTCCTTCCTCACGCCAATAGACATTATGAAAACCTCTCTCTCTCTCTCTCTCTCTCTCTCTCTCTCTCTCTCTCTCTCTCTCTCTCTCTCTCTCTCTCCACTGCCGCCTCTTGTCCGTAATAGTGATGATTAGTGACTTCCGGGTGTGTCTGTCTGTCTGTCTATTATTAGCGTTTAAATAGAAGCACTGTAGATGTACTATGGTATAATAATGAAGGAATCTCAACTACTGTACGTGTGAGGTATAAGAGAAACACGAGCGGTAAAAGTACAGTAGCAACACCCCCTTCCCCCTTAGGACGCGCGTGCTTCCTGTATGATGGTTCTGGCGGCACTGAGGAGAATTACAAGCAGCTTCTGAGTTATATATATACACCAGAGTTTAGTCATAGTTGAGTGTTGTTGTGACCAGACTCTGAACGTTTTTTTTTGTGTGTGTTTTTCTCAATACGTTTATATCGTCTGTCTATGAACGTTTTTATCTGTCTGTCTGTTTGTCTGTGTCTGTTACTCCAATATGTTATTATCTTGGTATCAAAATTTAGGGACCAAACGTTCAATTAATTTCAGGTGGTGATTGTGACTAAGATGCTCGCGTGACAGGTGTTGGGGAGACATACATACATACAATACATACATATAATACATACATACATACATACATACATACATACATATAATACATACATACATACATATAATACATACATACATATATACATGAGATGATATTTTGATGGAGTCATTGTGAAGGGGTTAGTGTTCGTTGGTGGTGGTGGTGGAGGGAGCGAGAGTGATGGAGAGGGGAGGCTGGGTTAGGTACACGAGCACCATAAAACACCAGTTATAACAATGCTGTAGTGTGTGTGTGTGTGTGTGCGCGCGCGCGGTAATACGGGATACACCGATCTATTTTTAGCAGGGTGAGTGTGCGCTCGCCTGTGTGTGTGTATGTTTATGCGCGTTTGTGTGTGCGTAATGGTGCAGGAGGAGTGAGCGTGAAGAGAATAGGAATGGGGAGGTGTGTGTGTGTGTGTGTGTGTGTAAGGGTCAAGTAAGTTGATGCCTGAATTGGTAGGCGTATGAGGGCGTGAGGAGGAGGAGTCTGTGTACGCGTGGGAGGAGAGGGGTGACTGGGGAGGAGGTGAGTGGGAAGAAGGGCAAGGTAGAGTGACCCAGACCTAGTGAGTGAGGTGTGTGTGTGGCGTACTGCTTATGTCGGCCACGGTCAAGTTGCTGGTAGTCAAAGTGATGGTGGTGGCGGTGTGATGGAGAAGGCGGTGTGATGGAGAAGGCGGTGTGATGGAGAAGGCGGTGTGATGGTGGTGGCGGTGTGATGGAGAAGGCGGTGTGATGGTGGTGGCGGTGTGATGGAAGGCGGTGTGATGGAGAAGGCGGTGTGATGGTGGTGGCGGTGTGATGGAGGCGGTGTGATGGAGAAGGGGTGTGATGGTGGTGGCGGTGTGATGGAGGGCGGTGTGATGGAGAAGGAGGTGTGACAGGTGGTGGCGGTGTGATGGAGGGAGGCGGTGTGATGGAAGGCGGTGTGATGGAGGGGCGGTGTGATGGAGGGTGTGATGGAGGAGTCGGTGTGATGAAGATGGCGGTGTGATGGAGAGGCGGTGTGATGGAGGGAGGCGGTGTGATGAAGGCGGTGTGTGATGGAGAAGGCGGTGTGATGGAGGCGGTGTGATGGAGAAGGCGGTGTGATGGAGAAGGCGGTGTGATGGAGGAGGCGGTGTGATGGAGGCGGTGTGATGGAGAGGCCAGTGTGATGGAGGGAGGTGGTGTGATGGAGAAGGCCAGTGTGATGGAGAGGCAGTGTGATGGGTCAAAGTGGTGCAAATGGTGCTTGTGAGTGATGATGGTGGAGGAGAGTGGCCGCGCATAATCCCAGGTCGACGCACTCTCACCCTGTCGTGCCCCCACCCCCCTCCTCTCACCCCCCTCCTCTCCCTCGTCCCCTCCTCTCCCTCGTCCCTCCCCTCCTCTCCCAGCCACCACAGCCACCTGCTCCTCTTGCTATAGCTGCAGTCATCCCCCCTTGCCTGCCTGCCTGCAACCCACCCCTGTTTTAGTACCTCATGCAGTGCTTACATTTTTACACACACACACACACACACACACACACACAGAGCCCTTGCTGTACATCTATCTTCCCTCACTCTCCTTAACCTGCCCCCCCCTCCTGTGTCTACCTATCTACCTCGAGTTATGTTTTGAGAGAGAGAGAGAGAGAGATATCTTCCTGTACTGTACACTGTCCAGAATTAAGTCATCAGGACACCCCCCCCCCACCTCCCACAGTGTCCAGCAGTGATTGTATACTTTCACTGTTCGTCTGCTGCACTTGCTCCTCCCATTTCTTCTCCTCTTCCTCCTCTCAACACAGCGTACCATTTTCCTCTACCGCGAATCCTTACACCTACAAGGATATCATAGGTGCGTTATGTGATAATAGTGAAGATTGGTGTGTGTGTGTGTGTACGTATCAGTGTGTGTGTATGTATGTATGCGTGTGTGTACGTATCAGTGTGTGTGTGTGTGTGTTATGAACCTACGGGACGCACCACCCATCCTTCAGTAACTGTCTTTGTCACTTCTATACCGTTAAGGATCCCGTCAGATTTTTACCCTCCTGATCACTGCTTTGATTAGAATCTAAATTACCAATCGGCTCAGGGGTGCGGGTGGAGTTGGGCAGGGCGGCGTGGGGTGCGGGTGGGATGGGGTATGATGGGAGGGGGGGGGGGTTCTATTCTCAACACTTACCTGGCCGTCAAGGTGTTTTGGGGACCACGTTTAATTAGCTCTCAGGCCCACCTTCCTCAACTCATTTCACCTGTCTGATGTATGTCTGTGCTAATAGCCAATTGGTTTCTTAGTCATTGTTTGTATGTAACGAACGTTTGTAAATAGTCTGATTTAACACACACACACACACACACACTAATCTTCACTCGGGTTACCCCTAGTCCACCCAACTGTAAATCGGTACCTAACTTTACACTTTAGGAATGGGAGGTGGTCGAGTACATTGCTTGGCTACTCTTCCTGGTGAACTGAAGGCTCATTAGGTGTAAAGCATTCGTACTGTTAAGGAATTTTTTTTTAATATTGATGCTAAACAGCTCTTTGGCCATCTTACCTGACGATCAGTTTAATTCAGGTTAGTTTAGGTTAGGTTACGATGAGTTGGGACAGGTTAGGTTAGGATAGGTTGGGACAGGTTAGGATAGGAAAGATTAGATTAGATTGGGTTACTGAGTATGACCTCTTAGTATTAGTTACATTATTAAAAAAACGAATCTGTGTGAACCATGATCCTCTTTTGTACAGTCGCCTGCACTTATACCTGGTACAGTGGCTGGTGCATTTTGTGAG